CTCTCATCTAAGCTATAGCAGAACACACATCCCCTCCCCCCACCCCAATGGCCTCAGCCAGTGGCCTTCCTGGGGGCCCTCTCCCTCAAGGTGGGCATCCCAGGCCACTTGTGGGGGCAGATTTTGTTATGAGGATATCTTTTCTGACATCAAACTGAAATGTGCTTTCTCTTCTTGAACACAACAACAGCCCCTAGGCTCTGGGGCCAAGCCAGAATCCTGATCTCTCTTCTGCGGGGGAGCCCTGAGCCCAGTGAGCACCTTCCCCTGAATCTTCTCTTCTCCAGGCTTAACAGCCTCAGCTCCTTAAGCTGACCCCCAGATGACCCTCAGGCCCCTCCTTGTCACCCAGCTCATCCGTGACCTTCTGAGCGCTAGCTTTCAGAACCAGCAGCCGAAGGTGGGAAGGAAGGGCAGACACCAAGTCCTCTGAGGTTCAAGGAAGGGGAATTGTTATGGCTTTGGCCTGGCCCTCCAATGTCAGAATTACCTGGCTGTGGACAGTGACATGCTTGCTTTGCACATGGCATCCAGCTCTCAGCACTGTGGACAGCTGCCAGATGCCTCAAGGGGCTTTCTGAAGAGCAGAGAAAGAAATAGCTGGTTTCTACTTCTCTCCCCACTTTGTACCGCCCACCTGCCCTTCCAGCCACAGGCTTCAGGTTCTGTTGCCTAGGATTCCCATGGGAGCTCAGGGTGTGTGTGTGTGTGTGTGTGTGTGACTCACATTTGTCAATGTGTATGAGTTTGTATGAGTGTGTATGTGAATTTGTGTGTATGTGAGTGCATGTGAGTGCACACCCGTGCTCCCAAGCCCACACGCCCCAGGGAGACGCAGAACATCTTCCCTTCAGAACACAAAGTGCCCCTTCCCCCCACTTTCTGTTTTGGGGAGGTGAGTGGGGCCCTGGTGTTGCTGCCTTCTTGCAAAGAAGCTGGGGGGCAGGATGGAGAGGTGGGCACTTTTTCCCTGGGTGTCCGGGTGTGGCTCACAGAAGCTTCCACGTCGGCTGGGTTTCCTTGACAGACTTGTCCTTGTCACAGCAACGAAAGTGTCCCCGGCCGAGGTGTTTGGCTGGAGCTCGGCCAGAGGACTCCCAAGGGCAGACGGGGAACTCAGTAGTTGTCTGTGAAATGAGTGGAGTCACGTGTCTAAGGTCTGGCTCCAGGGCGGCTTCAGCCCCTGCTCTCTGGGACCCCTGGAGATTGGAAAGTCACTTCATGGTTTCTCTAGTCTAACTGTTCCCTGCGTGACCGCCCATCTCCCACTTCCAAGTCTTTGCACAGGCTGCCCCCATGCTTAGCATGCACTCCCTGCTCAGCTCTGCTTAGGAGGACCTCTAGTTTTCTTTAGCTCAGGCACCTTCTGACAGGAAGGCAGCTGGTGTCATAGTGGATAGAGAGCTGGACCCAGAGCCAGGAAGACTTGAGTTCAAATTCAGATTCAAGAAGGAGGGAGGGGTGTGGGGGGGAGAGAGACAGAGACAGACAGAGACAGAGGGAGGAGAGACAGAGACAGAGAGAGACAGACAGACAGAGAGAGACAGAGAGAGAGATAGAGACAGAGAGAAGGAGGGGGAGAGAGAGTGGGAGGAGAAAGAAGGAGGGAGGAAGGGAGGGAGAGAGAGAGACAGAGACAGCGAGATTCTCCCAGGCCCTTGCACTAGTTGACCTGTGTGGTCAGAGCCCTGCTAGGGGCACTGACTGATGTCAGTCTGGGATGACCCAGAAAGGACTGCCCATCCTGGAGGTTTTAAACCTTATCCGAGGACCTTGCAAAGGTCTGCCTCTGAGTGCACGAGGATGGGAATTCCTGGTGCTCCTTACCTTCGGACACCCTGATGTCTTGAGGCCTCTTGCACAAGGTCCTGAAGAGACCAAGAGAGCCTTTCTTGGCCTCGATAGCCATTCTGACTCAGAGGTCTCAGGGCCTTGGCCCAGATTATCCTGAAGGGGGATTGTTTGCAAACCATTTCCAGCAGGCATTTTGTTTCTGTGTTTCTTGGAGAGGGAGAGAGGGAGGATGGGAAGGAAGGAAAGAAGGAAAGCTGATTAAGACCAAAAACCTCTGAGATAGGACTGGGGAGAGAGGAGATGAGAATGTCTGGAGCATTCCAGAAAAAGGTGCCCAGGGAGGGGCCAGAGCCCAGATGCCCAGCCTTCTCCCTCTAGAGCACCAGGCTTAATAAAGGCAAACAGAAAGGAGTCATGCCTGGATGATTTTCTTGGTGAGCATCTTGCCCTGAGCTGGAAGGGTTGTTCCATTGGGGAGATTTGCAGCCCTTGGTATTACTGAATTAAGGTGCCTGCCTTACCTTTCCCTCTGCCCCCTGGGATATCTCTCTCACTGATTCCTTCTCCAACCTCCTCAGCCCTCCTCCCATCTCCCCCCCCCCCGCCCCCTTGCCCTCAGCAGATCTCCTCCTCTCCTCCAGGAGAAGGTGGAGCCAGCTCTCCCCCGGGGACGCCCTCATCAGCTGTCCCACATGGACCCCCTCACCAGCTCTCCCCAGGGACCCCCTCACCAGCTCACCCCCAGGGAACCCTCACCAGCTCTCCCATATGGACCCCCTCACCAGCTCTCCCATATGGATCCCCTCACCAGCTCTCCCCAGGGACCCCCTCACCAGCTCACCCCCAGGGAACCCTCACCAGCTCTCCCATATGGATCCCCTCACCAGCTCTCACCAGGGACCCCCTCACCAGCTCTCCCATCCTCTTCTCTCATCTTTGGTCTCCACCAGCACCTTCTCCTTTGCCCCCAGCATGCTCAGGTCTCTCCTTAAAGAGGCCTTCCCACCCTGGCTTCCTGGTCACGCTGCCTCAGGCGCAGTCAGCACACCAGGACCCATCAGCAGATATCTCGGTCCAATGCCTGGGCTACGTTAGCAGATTTTGCACGGTTGGCTGATTGATATCCTTTAACCCCTCACCTGGCCTCCAGTCTGACATCTCCAGGTGCCTGTTAGACATCGCGGGTTTCCCACAGACACTGGCACCAGCATCATCATTGCAGCAAGCATTTCTGGGAAGTACATGCTAGTATTATCCCATTTTACAGAGGAGGGAGCTGAGGCAAGCAGAAGTTAAGTGACTTGTCCAGGGTCACACACCCAGGGAGTGTCTGAGGCTAGACGTGAATTCAGGTCCTCAGGATGCCAGGTCTGGTGCTGCCCCTCTTCAGTGTTGCTTGACTCAGCTCTAGGGCACAAACTAGCAGCTGGAAAGCCAAAGTTCATGAACACAGCTCAGCCCTTGGCTGGGGGTCTCTGGGCCCCTCCAGCTCCCCTCCCCCCATCACTTTCTAGAGCGGGGGGGGGGGGGATGTGAGTGAGGCCCTGAAACCTCTTTCTCTTTTTTGTTGTTTTCTTAAATTGACTTTTGTAATAATGAGCAATTATGAAACTCAGTGAAGCCTTTCGTTCATTAAGGAAGATCGGGGGTGGGCTGGGGGAGGGGAAGAGAGAGCCTGGGAGCTCGGGGATCATTCTCCTGCACAAGGATCCTGGGGGCCTTCTTTCCGCTGGTGTCTCAAATGTGGGAATCGGCTGGGGCAGGCCAGTAGGGGCAGTGATGATCATCGTCCGGCAGAGACCGGCCAGGTAGGAGCCAGCAGCCTTGTTGAGAAGGTCGCTGGGGACGGGTTTGTGAGGCAGCCGCCTCGGCCTCGTCCCTAGGCCACGAAGAGATCAGTTCTGGCGTCTGAAACTCAGCCCGGGGCTCAGGGCTCTCGCCTGCTCCCTGAAAATACAAACATTTTAGCCGGGCCCCTTGCCACAGCTGCCCACAGAGCTTTACAAATCACGGTCAGGATGAATGCATTCTCCTTATCCAAGAAATAACCCTGGGAGGTTGTCAGGGCAAGGGCAGAACAGAGCAGAAATGATTCCCCCCATTTCAGATGTGGAGAAACTGAGTTTTGGAGGGGGAAGTGCCCCGCCTGGAGTCACACAATGAATCAGGTCTGCAGTGGGCTCTTCCTCCTCCTCCGGGGCGCCTCTCACTGTCCTAGCAGGTGTGTGAGGCTCTGGGGGGTGGGTGAGGAGCCCACCACCTGTGGCGCCTTTGGGCAGAGGCGACCTTCCCCAGGGGAGGGGAGCGCTGTCCGGGCAGGGTGGGGAGGGGGAAGGCGGGAAGAAGCCGGCCCTACAATCTGAAGCTGGCCCCCGCCCCGCCCTAGCGCTAGCTCACTGCTCAGGTGGCCTTGCGGTGCTCCCCACTCCATTTCCCCTTCCTCACCTGCACGATGGGGCTGGCTGGGGAAAAGCATTTTACCGAAGAGAGGCAGCTGCAGCTTTGTCCTCCTACATGTCTTTGCCCAGGAGCTGCTGCACGGAGTTTGGACCCTGTGTCCCCGTGCTCAGTGCAAAGGCAGGGGATGTGGAGTGATGCCCCAGAGGCCAGAGGGCCCAGCCTCGCTTCAGTCCTGTGGCGCAGGGCGCATGCCAGGAGGACGGGTTCTCGAACCAGGCCAGTGAGATGGCCACAGGGGCAGCGCGCTGCAGCGGCTGTGCACAGCAGGGGGGCAGGCAGGGAGAAGCTGGGCCTTCTTGAAGCTCCCACCAGAGTCGGGGGGGGGAGGGGAAGGGAGGGGACTCTAAAGCTCTGCCTCAGGTGATGTGGGAATGATATGGGGTGGGGCAGGAGGAAGGGTGTTGCGCTCTGCGGTCAGGATTCCTCAGGGGAGACCCTGGGGTGATCTCTTTTCTTCTTAGAGGAGGTGGCTGGGGCGAAGGAGGGGCAGCTGCTCGGCCAGCCTGGCTCCTGCCCCTCCTCCCCCAGCAGATTTGGGAGGTTTTCCCCGCCTTCGAGGCGGGGGAGGAGGGGCGGGGAGCCTCTTGCGAGAGTCCCAGCAGGTGGGAAGGTGCGGGAGAGGTCACGTCTGGGCTGGCCCCACTCCCCAGTGGGGGAAGCAGATGAGGGGGCCGTCAGAATTGGGCTGTGGGTTGGGGTCCGCACTCACGGCTTGACTCCTCTTCTCTCTCTTCTGCCGCCCCCAGCTTGGAGGATGCGGGATTCTCGGTGTGGGCATCTGGTTGGCTGTGACGCAGGGCAACTTCGCCACCCTCTCACCCTCCTTCCCTTCGCTCTCAGCGGCCAACCTGCTCATCGTCACGGGCACCTTCGTCATGGTCATAGGCTTTGTGGGGTGCATCGGAGCCATCAAAGAAAACAAATGTTTGCTTCTCAGTGTGAGTGTTGGGGATGGGGGGGGGAGAAGGGGGCGGTACTGGAGGATCCTGGAGTGACGGCCCAGGATTGGCTCAGGACGAGGGATCCGGGGAAGGAAGCATGGCCTGGGGTTGCAACAGAGAAAGCCCCTCCCCCCAGGCCACCACTGCCTAATTCATCCTTTCAATCCCCCTGTCTCCATGCTACCCAAGTCTGGGGGCCTGCAGGAAACCAGCCAGGGAGCTCCCCCTTTGCAGACCCTCCTCTGTGGCCTGCTTGCTTTGGGTGGCTTTTTGGGAAGCATGTTTACCGGGTGGAGGGGGTGGCTGGGAAGGAGGAGGGAGAAGGAAGAGGGAAGTGGGTGGGATGACCGGGGTGCTGGGGCAGGCACAGGGGGAAAGAGTCTACCTGGCCCGGCAGTGGTGCCTGGGAGCCTCCCAGGGTAGAGGGGTAGCTCTGAGAGTGGCTGGCACAGCCCAGGTAGCCCTCCACCCTGGAACAGGCTACGTCCTTTGCCTCCTTGGGCTCCTGGATTCTCCATGCCCCTGTCTTCTCCCCCAAACTCTGGAGAGGCTTAGGCACAGTCAGATTGTGTCCAGGGGAGACAGGGCTGGCTATGGACTCAGGGGGACTGTGAGACCCTCCCCTCTGCTCCTCATTCCCTGGGGGATACGGAGTGGTCTTTGCTGCTCTGGGGCTCGGCGTCTCTGTAGCCCAGCCCTCCGTGGTTCCACACAACCAGATGCCTCTTGGCAGAAGGGCCTGCCTGGCCTGTGAACTGCTTGTCCCTGAGTGTGGATGGGGAGGCTGAGAGAGAGGCCTCCTCCTGGAGCCTGGGCACAAGAAAGCTGCCCTTTCTGCTTTCTTTCATGGCATCCTTGCCCCCAGCTTGGCTGGGGCCACTCGAGCCCAGCTGGGGCAACCTGGCCAAGTTGGCATTTGGAAGATCCTTCCTTGGCCCTCAGGCTGCGGGGCCATCTGCCGGCTTCAGGGAGGTAGGTGGTGCCCAGAAGGGCTCTGGCATCTCCATCCCTCCGCCCATCATGGTCAGAGGCAGCTGACCGTGGCAGCACACCCCTCTGCCCCATCGCCAACTATGAGGCCTGGATCGGCGGAGGCATGTTGTGAACCTTGTTTTAAGGAACCAGCCGAGGGGCTGATCTGGGCTTCCGGCCCACATCAGGAGCAGACAGGCTGAGGGCCCACTCCAGACTGTGGGCCCCCACCTCCTGCCAGATGCACGAATCTCTCCTACAATATAGCTGACAAATGATGGCCCCACCACCACTTGAATACCACCAATGATGAGAGGCTCACTACCTTATGAAGCAGTCCATTTCCTTGTTAGAGAGCGCTCATTGTCTGAAAGGCTGAGAAAGGGGACAGAGAGAGCTTGTCACTTTGTGGTCATGGGGACCATGAGTCTACCGCTTCCTAAAGAGAGCTATGGAAAGAGGAAGATCGGTAGAGATGGGGATGTGTGTTTTCCTCTTTTCATGAAACATTAATCACAGATAATTTAAAAAGTAAGTGTTTCTTTGGTAATGTTCTTCTTACCTATTAATATATCAAGCCGAGAGGCCTTTCGGGAATCATGCACAGGAAGCTTTTTATGAGGCCAGTCCATCTATTAAATTACAGTGTTTTAAAGTGGGGAAAAATTCAGTTGCTTTTGTTTTTTTCTGAAAGAGGTACTGCCAGGCAGGGAGCGAGCAGATTGTGCAGGAAGTGGCTGGGATCCTGGGCCTGGCCCTCAGGCATCAGAGGAGCATCCGTTTCAAGCTGGGGGGACATTTAAGGCCATGGAGTCCAGCCCTGTTGTTTTACAGATGGGGGAACTGAGGCAGAATGAGATGAGGTGATACAGCTAACCAGGGCCTGAGGCAGGATCTGAACCCAAGTCTTCCTGGCTCCTTGCTTCTCAAAGGGCTGCTGAGAAAGCAAGAAGGAGATCCAGGGGAGGGCCTGTCTTAACCTTAACCTATCAGGACACCTCTCCTTTCCTCTCTGGGAGCCTCTACTGTCCCCAGGAATGTGCCCATTCCTCCAGACTCACGGTACTGCCCAGGGCAGGCTGGAGGATGTGTTCAGGGAAGCCCTCCGGCATGTGGGCTGCCGGGCCCTTTCAGGGCTGCTCTCCACCTTTGGTGTCCACCTGATCCACTGACTCTCACCAGGGGCTCCAAGAAGCTGTGGCATGTACAGGGGCCACACCACAGTAAGCCAGTTCAGCAGATGGGCTAAGCCAGATTGAGGGTAACTGAGGGGTCTCAAACCCATCAGTGAGTTAGGGGGGTGTCTGCCCCAAGCATGTGAAGACCTCCCCTGGCGGAACAGGTGGATGAGAACAATTTGTTCCAACGGCCATGAAGGTGGCTGAAGCAGGTGCTGTGAGCGCCTGGACGCTGGTCAGACGTTGAAGATGCTGAGGTCGTCTACTGCATCCTGAGCCATTGCCAACATCCTCACTGTCCTGCCACTGGACTGCGATGACTCTGGAGGAGACAGTGAGGCCAACTTTGTGCAGCTGTTAAATCCAGTCTGCGCGTGAATCAAGACACCTCCCACACTGTTTGACCATTTTTACCTAGCTCTGAGTCCTGTGGCCACAGGCAAGTGACGAAGCAGCAGGTGCAGATGCGCTGGGAGCTGCACACAGGCGGCCCAGGCCTAGGGTCTCCTCACTGGAAGCAGCTGTGGGATTTGGCAGCCCTCTAGGTGTTTGAGCAGCCTTTTAAGGATCGCACAGCTCACCTCCTGATGTGAGGAAGGGGCTAGAAAAGGTGCCCTAAAAATTATCTGTTACTCAACCCTGGCCTGATTTACTGGCAGACGGGGATCCCACGCTGTTGTATCCCCCTCTCTCTCTTCTCTCTCTCTCTCTCTCTCTCTCTCTCTCTCTCTCACACACACACAAAACTTTAGCAAAGATGATTCCCCTCACCATTGGTACATGGAATGTGTGCACACTTATGGACAGCATGAAAACCAGTAGATCTGAAAGATGAACAGCTCTTGTTGAGAGAGAACTCAGCAGGCATCACATCCAGATAGCATCCCTGAGAGAAATGAGGCTGGCCAAGGAAGGCCAGCTTAGTGAAGTTGGAGCTGGATGGACAATTTTCTGGAGTAGCTGCAGTGAAGGGGAGGGCTGTGAAGCTGGTGTAGGTTTTGCAATCAAAACTAACCTGGTCAATAAGCTTGTATGCCTTCCAAAAAGAGGGAACAACAGGCCATGACAATGAGATTGCCACTTGCAGGGAAATGTCACGCCACCATCATGGCCTGTGCTCCCACCATGGAGAATTCTGATGAGGTCAAAGAAAAATTTTATGAAGGTCTAGAGACCCTTATCATCAATGGGCCCAAAGAGGACAACCTTCTAATTCTGGGTGACTTTCATGCCAGAGTAGGCTCAGACTGCCAGACTTGGCAGGGAGTCCTAGGGAGGAATGGAGTTGGAAACAGCAACAGCAGTGGTCACTACTAAAGACTTGGGCATCTCATGACCTTCTCATCACCAACACTGTCTGCCATTTACCTGAATGCAATAAGACTTCGTGGATGCACCCTCGAAGCAAACATTGGCGTTTAATAGACCATGCTATTGTAAGGAGAAGAGACAGACAGGATGTGAGAGTGAAGGTACTGTGTGGCACAGAGTGCTGGACTGATCAGGGACTTATCCTCCAAGCTAAATATTCACATTCAACAAAAGCGGTGGCCCCAAGGCAAAAGGACTACCAGAAGAATTAATGTCACAGATTAGAGTGCTTCTCTGAGTGGGAACAGTTTGCTGCTAACTTGGAGGGAAAGCTGAGCCAGCATAGGGTTGGCAACAGTGGAGCAGAAAAGGCGTGGGCAGCCTTCGGAGTTTTGGTGTGCAGCGCTGCATTTTCTCACGTGGGTCAGAATAGTCACAAACATTAAGGCTGGTTTGATGAAAATGATGGGGAAATTCAGAAGCTGCTAAATGAAAGACGAGAACTCCACAGGGTTTACCAGCAGGACATTTCATCTGTCTCTAAGAAGGCAGCATTTAATTCCGTCAAAAGTAAAGTACAAGCAAAAGAGAGATGCAGGCTGCTTGGCTCAGTAAGAAGGCAGATGAAATTCAGTTTTATGCAGACAGTAACAATACGTGGTGCTTTTTGGGCCATTTATGAGCCAGACCTTTGGTGCATCTCAACTACTCAGCCTGATGGAGCCACGTGATAAAGACATGATCCTGAGAGATGGGCTGAATACTTCTATAGTGTTCTCAATAGACTGTCATCAATCAATGCTGAAGCCACTGACTGTATACCTCAAGTTGACATCAATCCCTCCCTGGCTGAAATATTTAATGCCGTTAGGCTCCTTTTGTGTGGCAAAGTGCTTGGTGCTGAGTCTATTCCAGCTGAGATTTGCAAGGCAAGGGCTCCATTGCTTATACAAAAGGTGACTGAAATCTTCTGGGTTATATGGCAAGAGGAGGTTATCCCCCAAGAGTTCAAGGACGCCTCCATTGTCCATCTCTGTAAAGGTAAAGGAAATAGATTGTCCTGTGACAATCACAGAAGGGTCTTTTTCTCTTAGTCATTGCTGGCAAGATTCTTGCCAGAGTCCTCCTTAAAAGACTGATGCTATGGGCAGCTAGGTGGCACAGTGGATAGAGCACCAGCCCTGGAGTCAGGAGAATCTGAGTTCAAATCTGGTCTCAGACACATGATGTGTGTGTCTGGGCAAGTCACTTAACCCCAATAGCCTCATCAAAACAAAACAAAACAAAACAAAAAACAAAAGAAAAGACTGATCCTCCACCTCAAAGATGGTCATTTACTTGAGAGCCAGTGTGGCTTCAGAAAGGTCTAAGGAATGCTCGATATGGTGTTTGCTGCCCGACAACTCCAGGAGAAATGCCAGGAGCACAACAGAGGTCCGCACACAATGTTTGTAGATCTAACCAAGGGCTTTGACACTCTCAGTCATGAGAGCTTATGGAAAATTATGTCAACATTTGGTTGCCCAGAGAAGTTCATCAGCATTGTACATCAGTTCCATGACAGCACACTTGCCTGAGTTCTGGATAATGGACGACACTCTCCCACTTTCCCAGTCACCAATGGAGTGAAGCAGGGCTGTGTGCCTGCTCCTATGCTTTTTAGCAGGATGTTTTCAGCCATGTTGTCAGATGCCTTCAATGAGGATGAACATGGCATCAAGGTCAGCTACTGCACTGATGGTAAATTCTTCAACCTGAAAAGGCTACGAGCCAAGACCAAAATGGAGGGAGAGTTGGTGCATGGTTTTCTGTTTGCAGATGGCTGTGCCCTCAATGCAGCCTCTGAAGCTGGGATGCAACAAAGTATGGATTGATTCTCTGCGGCTTGTGCTAATTTTGGCCTGACAATTAACACCAAGAAAACACAGGTGCTCCACCAGCCGGCATAACACCCTCCATCCTATGTGGAACCATTGATTATAGCAAATGGAGAAATGTTGAATGCTGTGGATGAGTTCACTTACCTTGGGAGTGTCGTTTCCAGGGATTACACATAGATGATGAGGTTGATACACACATTGCCAGAGCTAGCTCAGGTTTGGGAGGCTCCTGAGGAAAGTGTGGAAGAGAAGAGGTATTAGACTGACTATCAGACTGAAGGTCTACAGAGCTGTTGTGCTGACCTCCTTGTTGTATGCCTGTGAAACCTGGACAGTCTACCAGTGCCATGCCAGGAGATGGAATCACTTCCATTTGAATTGTCTTAGGAAGATTCTGAAGATCCCCTGGCAGGATAAAATACCAGACACTGAGGTCTTTTCTCAAGCTAAACTGCCAAGCATTCAAACTCTACTGCAGAGGGTGTATCTTCAATGGGCTGGCCGTGTTGTTTGAATTCCAAACGTGCGCTTGCCAAAAAGACTATTTTGTGGAGAACTCACACAAGGCAGGCACTCACATGGTGATCAGAAGAATCGATACAAGGACACTCTCAAGGTCTTTCTTAAGAACTTTGGAATTGATTGTAAGACATGCGAGATGCTGGCACAGGCCCCCCCAGCATGGTGTGCCCTCGTCAGAGAAGGCACGTGCTCTGTGAGCAAAGCAGAACTGAAGCAGCTCCAAAGAAACTTGAGATGTGCAAATTTAGAGAGTCCCTCCCCAAACGTTCACATCTACTATTTGTGCCCGACCTGTGGCAGAGCATTCGAAGCTCCTATTGGTCCGATCTGCTAGTTGAACTCACTGTAACTTAACTCTAGCCTAGTGATGCCATTTTGGTCCTCTTCAAAAACAAAGGATGAGGATGCACTGGCCAGGGCAGAGGAAAGGACAGGATCACCTCTAGTGACTGCACCCTACCAAGATATAGCCACCCTTCCAGATGCATAGTACCCCAAATAGGCACCCCCAGTCCTATAAGAAGAAAGACTTGGGGTCAGTTGAGAATTGGTCCTTCACCATCTGCTTAACTCACATTGCCAGGGGAGAGTGAGGTTTGGTTTCCTCCTCCCTTTTGTGTCATGTTCCCTTGTTCTTTCTTGGAATTTGAGGTGGCCTCAAGACTCCCCAGCTGGAACTCTCCATCTTTGCACCTCTGCTGTGCCTTCCTCTGTCTCCACGTCTCCAGCCTCTTTAGCCAGAGTGTGAGGCCAATGAAGTCGAGCAGGTGTGAGCCATCAGTCACCACTCAGGCATCCCTGGGATGCACAGCAAGTTCATTCCTTGTCCGAGGCTGCACCAGGTTCTGGAGGCAGGCAGTGGAGAGGACCCAGGTTCATTCCTGGCTCCTTACCACTCAGAAGACCTTAATTTATTGTTGTACCCTGCATACTAATGGTAGAGGTTCAGGGGCTGTGATTGGGCGGGTTGGTGCCCGCTCCCCCTGCTACTTGGCCCCTGCCTTCCTGGCCTCAGGAGGGAGGCTGTTTGGGGGCCACAGTGTCTGGAAGCTCGTCTTTTCCTTTTTTATTGAGTTCTCTCTTCATGCCTGCTCCAAAGCTCATGAATCATCATTATTCTGGTTGTGGCGGCTACAGGGGCTGGCCCAGATCCCTGTTATTTATAGTCTTGGCTCAGGGCAGGAGTTGGGTGGGCTGGCCAGAGCTCAAGGCCAGAGAGGAGCCAGAACAGGGCTGATGGGAGGGCTCAGGGGTTCATCCGGGCCTTAGAGAATGCAGCCGCCATAATATCCTCAAGGAACAGTTCAGTGGTGTCTGGAAGTGGACAAAACACTTGGGGCGGCTTGGCTTATTTGGGATGCCTGCCCTGCAGGTAAGCGAAGTGGGAGCCCCCCCTCCAGCCAGTGTACTCAGAGAGTTGGAGGGGCCCTTCAGAAGTCATCTGGTACAGTCCCCTGCCCTTGGGCAGGCCCATGGCAGAATCAGTCCTGGCTGGCTGAGCTACAGATGTTCCGGTTATGTATAGAGTACCTGGTCGTACTGGTCAGAGCTGGAGCCTGAGGCCAAGCTCCCCCCTGGTTCTCCCTCTCCCCTCCCCTTCCTTCCCTCCTTCCCTCCCCTTCCCCTCCCCCTCCCCTCCCTTCTCTCTTCCTCTCTCCCCTTCCTTCTGCCCCTCCTCCCTCTCCCCTTCCCTGTCACCCCTTCCCCTCCCTCTATCCTTCCTCCTCTTTCTCTCCCTCCCTCCTCTCTTCCCCTCCCCCTTCCCTGTCGCCCCTTCCCCCTCTTTTTCTCCCCCCCTTCCCCTCCCTCTCCCCCTCCCTCTCCTCCTCTGGGCACTGAGGTGTGAGGAGAGCAGAATTGTACTGCTGGGAAATCGTCTTTCCTTTGTTGGCATCTTTGGCCCTGTTATTTTATCCTGGAAATTTGCATGTTCAAAGGTTCTGCTTCTCATCAGCCACAGCAGCCGCCTCAGCCCCTCTGAATCACTCGGATTTCAGAGTTTTGCTTTGGAGGGGTGGAGGGAGAGGCTGCAGCCCCCTCGGTGCTGTGGACCTGCTGCAATCCGCGCAGCAGAGAAAGGCGTGGTGCCTCCTCAGGTCGGGAGGGCCATTAATCATGGAAGACTGCACAGAGGAGGTGGCATCTGAGGGAGTTGGCTTGGGGGGTGCGGGACAGGGAGGACAAAAACGTGGGTGTCTGGCAGGAAGGAGAACCCCATGCTTTGAATTCTCAGCCAACCCCCTTCTTTTGTTATTTAAGGAATGAAAAACCCATGATGAGGAAATCAAGGAACTGTCCAAAAGACAAGGGCTGCCCCCACAACATGTTGTGCCCCTGCCACCCCCACTGCCTGTGTTCCACCCACAAGCCTCAGCCCCTTTTCTGCCTAGCCAGCCCTTGTGGGGCTGGGAGGCCCGGGACCAACGTCTTTGCTCTGGCCTCTTTCTTTCCTTCTGTCCATCCCTCTGTTGCTCGTTATGTGTTACGTCCAAAGCCCTTGGGCTCACACACCGCGCGCACACACACACAGACACACACAGATAGACACAGATAGACACAGATAGACACACACACACACACAAGACACACATACACATACACACACACACACACACACACACACACACACGGGGAGAAGGACTTGTTCAAGGTCACACCATGAGTTTGTGACTAGGCTGGACCAGAGCCCAGGGCTCTGTCCTGTCTCACTGGGGCAGGCAGGGCAGCCTCTCTCTCAGCTGGGGTGCTGGCTGGGTCAGGTGGCTGGGCTCCTGCTGTCTCTGAGGGTACACCTTCCTCTCTTCCTCAGTTCTTCATCATGCTGTTAATTGTGTTCCTGCTGGAGCTCATGGTAGCCATCCTCTTCTTCGTCTACACAGACCAGGTAAGTGGCTGCTGCCAGCATTTGCCTTCTCTGTGTCCCTTGCCCCTCACCCTCAGGCCCCCCTCCCAGAGTGCCAGGCTTGGGCCCCTCTGCATCCCAAGTTACTGGTATGCACTTGTGACTGGGCGGTAAAGTGGGTGGGTGTGACTGCAGGACACACAGGGTGAGGAACTGTCCTTTGGGAGAGTTAGTGCCCACAGCATTCCTGCAGAGCATAGCATTTAGAGCAGCCCTGGCATGGCGCAGCACTGAGGGGAGGGCTCACAGCAGAGGTGGGGGATGAGTGAGTGATCGATCATTGTGCAGGATGTGTGTGTGTGTGTGTGTGTGTGTGAATGTATACATGTGTGTATATGTGTGTGTGCATGAGTGTATATGTGTGTGAGTGTGTATTTGTGAAAGGGGTTGCCTCAGGAGGCTGTCAGCCAGTCACATCAAGCACTCATTAAAGCAGAAAGAAGCCAAAACAGAGCCCTTCCCTCAAGGAGCTTGCATTCTATCAAGCATGGACATTTATAGAAGTATCTACTTGCTTGTTGACATATAAAATATATACATGATAAATGCCCAAGTGTAAGATAGTCTTTGGGAGGAGGCACTGGCAGCTGGGTTGGGATCAGGACAGGCTTTGCGGAGAAGGCGTTACTTAATCTGAGCCTCGAAGGAAGCAAAGGATTCTAGGAGATAGAGGTGAGGAGGGAGGGCATTCCAGGTGTGGGGCCCTGCCTGTGCAAAGGTCTGGAGGTGGGAGGCTGAAGGCAGTATATAAGGAACGGCCAAAAGGGTAGTGAAGCTGGAGTGTAGACTGTAGGAAAAGCTGCAAAGCTAGGATGGGCTGAATGGTGGGAAGAGACAAAAGCCAAATGGAGGGGCTAGATTGGATTCTGGAGGAAGTTGATTGAGTAAGGGAGTGATGTGGTCAGACCTGGCTTTGGGAAATCAGGATATTGTGGCATCTGCACGGAGACTGGGCTGTGGGGTGGGGAGAGCTGAGGCAGATGGTAGCAATGGACACCAGAGTTCCAGGAGTGACTGTGAGTGGAGAGAAGGGAATGGGTGTGAGAGGCTTGGGAGGGCAGAAATGACAACACTGGCCCGGGGCGTGTGTGGAGGGAGTGGGGGAGGGCCAGCCTGGGAGAGTGGGAGGAGGGGGTGCTTTTGGCCACCATCCTTGGGAAGTTTGGGGCAGAGGATGAGTCCGGTTTGGATGGGTCAAGTTTGAGATGTCTGGTAGACTTCCAGGAGGAGATGTCTGAGAAGCACGTGGCAGTCAGCAGAAAGGTCAGGGCTGGAGAAATAGATCCGGAGTCCTCTGCACAGAGATGACCACTGGATGGATGGGAGCTGATGAAGAGACAGGAGCAATAATTAAGTGCCTACTGTGTGCCGGGCACTGTGCTTAGCACTTTACACTTATCATCTCATCTGGACTCATAACAACTCTGATGATTGTCGCTATTATTATCCTTGCTTTTCAGTTGAGAAAATTGAGACTAAGTGACTTGCCCAGGGTTACCCAGTAGTAAGTGTCTGAGGCTGGATTTGAACTCGGGGCTTCCTGACTCCAGGCCTAGTGCCCTGGGCACCATGGCACCTCCTGGCTGTCTCTGGGGGGTGAGATCACCACATGGAGAGTGGTATAGACAAGGACCGAGCCTTGGGGGACACATGGATGAAGATCCAGCCGAGGAGACTGAGGGCTGGTGAGATGGATTGGAGGGGATGCTGGAAGAGGCTGACAACTGGGTGTCTGCCTCACTTCAGTCAGTTCACTCCAAGTAAAGACGTCCCCCGTGATGTCATTGGTCCTCGTAAAATGAAAGATGAGCAGCAGCAGAGGGAGGCCCCCCCCCATCCTCCAGGCCCCAGGTGTCATCCTGGACTCCCCCCCCCCCCAGGTACAGGCTATTACCCAGGCTGGTGATGTCTATCTAAGCCCCCTCCTCTCCTCTTACCCCACCACGCCCTGGGGCGGACCCTCACCCCCTCTTGTCCTAAAGCACAGATTCAGTCCTCTCTCCTCCCTCCCCCCCACATCCAAATGAGCTCCAGTGTCTTCCTGTCACCACAAGGATCAAATGTAAAGTTCTCTGGCATGCAGAGCCCCTCTTGCTGCACACCAGCTCCTCTGGCCTTTGCAGGGATGTCTGCTCCCATGCCTAGAGTGTGCTGCCCCCTCCCCTCTGCCTCATAGAGTCCCCAAGAGTTTCCTTCATGGCTCAGCTTCAATGCCACCTTCTCTGCAGACTAATTATGAGTCCCATCCCTCACCCCTCCACTGACTGTGGGTGTTCTGTGAATCTGTGTATAGGCTTATAGGGTTAGAGCTGGGTGGGGCTGTAGATCCCTCTGGGTCCAACCTTCTCCTTTTACAGATGAGGAAACTGAGACTGTCAGAGGCAAAGTGACTTGTCCAGGGTCACACAGCCAATAAGAATCTGAGATAGGCTTCAAGCCTGGGTCTTTCTGACTCCAAGTTCAATGTTCTGTCTGCTCCAGCCCTCAGCCTTTCATGTTGTTGTGTGCAACATGAGCACAGATTGTTTCATTCTTGTCTTTTAGGCTCCCAGCGTTTGCTATGGTCCCTTGCATGTAGTAAGGACTTCATCAATTTTTTAAAAATTCATTCATTCATGAAAAATTGGAGCTCAGGATAGAAGTGAGGGCTGAATGTGCAGATACAGGAATCGTCTGCGCTGAAACGCTGATTAAATGCCAGGAAGCTGGTGAGATTGCTGAGAGCGGGCATAGAGGGAGAAGGGTCCCAGAGAGTCTTGGAGAAATCCGGTAGCTAATGTTGGGGAGATGAATGGTGATCCAGATCAGGAGACAGAGGAGGAGTGGTCAGGCAGGCAGGAGCAGAATCAGCGGAGGTCAGCATTACCGCCTAGAGGAAGCAGACAGCACCTAGTAGGGGAGGGTGGCCAGCAAAGAGCTCTCAGGAGCTGTCCGTGCTGCGAGGTTCTGATCTGAGAACCCACAGGCACCAGTCAGGACTGGGTGACTGCCATCCAGTGAACAGGCTGGGGGAGGCAGGAAGGTTGTAGTTAAACTGAGTTCTTTTCTCCAGAATCATTCTGGACCAAAGAAAAGCACCAGAGAAAATAAGCTATGCAAAATGAGAAGGGAAGTTGTGTGGAAATAACTCAGAATGCTATTTCTCTTGCTTTCTGAGTTTCCATTGGTGTGTGCATGTAATCAGATTCCCAGAGGCACGTGCTGTTTCCTGCCTGTGAGACCATCTTTTCTAGGGATGGGCTGATTGTTCTGGCATGGGGCTGGTGTCTGAGGCTGCTTGCTGCCTACAACTGAAGCCCCTCGAACCCTGCCCTGTGTCCCCAGCTCCCCCCTCCCTCAGCACCCTGCCCTTCCCAGCCTGGCCTGGCCAGATGAGACCCCAGGGGTAGGGGAGGCAAAACCCAAATCCAGCCTGATGGAATGTCTGGGAAGAAAGCAGAGGCAGGAAGGTCTGCTAATCATCAGTATATTGACTTTCAGAAAAACTGTGCCTATCTAGTGGATCAGCTGGGTGCAGTGGAGGGTGCATTTGGGATGGATGGCTTGTCTTCACCCTGCCGGGACCCATGGCCTACTGCTCCTCACACCAGTGGTTCCTAAGCACCTGCCCAGCTGGGAAGGGTTGTCCTTTCTCTGTCTCCCAGCTGTGCCTGGGGCCAGAGGAGGCTTAAGCCCCACAGGCTTCTAAAAGGGCCTGGCTGTGAGGACTAGAAGGCTGAGGAGGCCTGGAGCCTCTGCTCCCCTCGCCCATCCACAGAGAAGGCTAGCTTCCCTTACTGTCACCACAGCAAAAAGGGAGTGGTGCATCCTTTCCATTTCACAGATGAAAAAGCTGAGGCCCACAGAAATGAAGTGAGTTGTACGGCCATGTAGCAAGCCCAGGCTAGCCCCAGTTCACAGGATCACAGACTCTCAGATTGGCGGAATGACTGCCTCTTGCTAAATGGGTCCCCCTGCCTTAGCAAAGCTGGCCTTGCTCCTCCAGGGAGGAGGGACCTCCAGGGGCAGCTGAGGCCTTCCTGGGTTAGCCCTTAAGGTTAGGAGTGTTTGCTGAACACTCAGCCTGAACCTACTCTTCTCACCTGGTTTCCCTCTTTGGGGCCAAGTGGAACCTAGCTTCTCCACAGGCAGAGCCATCCTGCCTCTTCTGCCCCCAGTGGGCATAAAAGACCTCCAGAATGGCAGTTAAGCACGTTCTAGCTGTCTCTGCCTCCTTCCCAGGTGAATGAGGTCTCGGTTAAAATCTGGGAGTCAGGAGGTGGGGAACTGGCCCAGGCTGGGTAAGTGAGAACAGGCCAGGGCAGGGAAAGGGCCCACCAGGGGCTGTGGGCCCCCTGTTCTGTGCCCTGGGCACACTGTCTGAGGCCCTGCACCCAGGTCTGGGCTCTGAACAAAGCTGGATGTGAGCATACGTTGAATAGGGCTAGGCTTGGTGTCATGTTTAAAAAAAAAATATATATATATATAGTACCTACTATGTGCCAGGAGCTGTACTAAGTGCTGGGGATACAAAGAAAGGCAGAAGGCAGTCCCTGCCTTCAGGGAGCTCACAGTCTAACATGGAGACAAGGTGCAAACACCTAGGTACAAATAAACTATAGGCAGGATGAATCAGAGGTGATCAACAGAGATTAGTGTTATTATGAAAGAGATGAGAAAAGGCTTCCTGTAGGAAGTGGGATTTCAGTGTCCTTCAGTTGAAGGAAGCCAGGAGGCAGAGAGAAAGAATTCCAGGCATGAGAGACATGCCCAAGGTTAGGAGATGGAGTATCTTGTTTAAGGAGAAGCCAGGAGGGTCATAGAGTGTGGGGGTTGGGTGGGGGGCAGTGTAAGGTGGAAGAAGGCTGGAAAGGTAGGAGGGGTCACTCCAGGAGACTTAGGTTTGAATACCATCTCAGATGCCTACTAGCTATGCAACAGTTCCCTTCTCTGAGCCTCACTCTCCTCATCTGCAAAATGGGGCTAGTGATACTACTTCCCGA